TTTCTGTGCATAAATATCAGACCTGGTATAAATGGCAAAAAAGCTTTGTTTCAAGCTTACAAGATCACAGGCTGTGTGTGCAAACATCCTTTCTTGGATGACAAGGTGGGGTTTTTTACTTATTTGTAACGCTTCTTCTTTTAACTTGCAGGACAAGGGACGGTAAAAACAGTTGCAGCTGTGACTTCTACAGCGACATCAGTACCAGCAACAACTGCGCAGCTTAACAAAGCGTTCTCGTTTTCTTCTGTGGGGTCTGTATGAATGCTGGTTTCTTTATAGTTGGTGTTAAATATGGTATCAGCTGCTACAGCAAGTGTTACCTACAAGCTGCATAATACTGTAAAATGGCACCTGCCCATGTGAGATTGGGAGGGCAGGGGTTGCACCAAAGTTCTTGGAAGACCACCTTGTTTGTGGAAGCCTCCCTGAGTGAGGGCTGTGAGAATTTGACACAATATCATGTTGCTTTTGAGAGTTTTTTCAGTCTGTAACTACTCAAGAGTCAATAAGGACTGGCTTTCTTTTCAGGTTTGTCTATAATGGACTAGTGAACAAATCATATACTGTGTGTACTGATATTTCTCCTCATCAGGTGATGATTTGAGATTAGAGCAATGTGACTGTGGTTAAAGCACCCGCTCATGGTCTGATGCACTGGGTTCACTGACTGTCTTCGAGTGCATGTCACCACTTCTCATAGAGTCAGAGAAGAACATTTATGCTGTATATTGTATGTTTGGGGTAAGGAAGAGGAAAAAGAGGCAGACCATAGCTAGTTGTAAACCTTGTTCTTTATTTAGTGAACAAACAGCACTAGCAGGAAAATCATCCCTGGCAAGCTGTGCAGGGACACATGAGAATGAACTTTGGCTTTAGAGCAGCAGGAGAAGAGGTTAAACACTGGAAGCTTCTGGTCCCAGAGGAGAAGAAGAAAGAACATGAATATGGTCATATTAACAGTTGTCACCTCTGAAAATGGACTCCAAAGAGAGTGACGTGTTTTCTAACCTAGGCAGACGTATACGGGTTTCAAATGGCGGCAAAGGTTTGAGAGACAGAAGTGCTGGAATTCCCAGTTAGCACTTGAAATCTGTGCTGATGGTCAAACTTGCTGAATTACTTATTTATTTTAGTACAACAGAACAAATTCCATGTTTTGGCTTGAAAAGTAGTCTGTTCATGAAGGTGACTAGAGAGTGCCCGTGCCATCTGGTGATTTCTGTTACGTAATAACACAAAGCAAGGGGCGTGTTATGAACATAGAGTTATTCCGAAATCTCTCTTAGGGAGGTGGTTTTTTTCAGGGATGACAGAAATATTTCTTTGATCATATCTTGCGTTTGGAGGGGAGGGCTGACTCCTTAGAAATGATTGTTTGAAATTCTGCGTGTTTACCTATCTAGTACCTTAGTGAATTTCTCTTCAGGAAGGGGGTAACATTAAGTGTTTCAGAACATGCATACTTTCAAATGGCTGGTTGCTTTCAGTCTTAATCATTTCTCTGCAAGTTTGTCAAGTGGATGGTGCCCAAATGCCTTGCTGTGCTCTTCAAAGGACTAAACCAGTCCTTTTGAGAGATGGAAATTCAGATTCAAAAAGCAAACAAGCCCTGCCTTTGTCCCAGGCTGCAGTGCCTCAGTCTGTAAACCATACCATATGCTAAACACAGTGCTGTTGTCAGTGATGTCTTGGTTACACGGCCTGACTTCTACATCAGCAGCTGGTCTTTGAGAATCAGAGAAAGCTTAAAAAGCCTCAGGGAATGAAGGTCTCTGGAGGACCTCAGTGCTCATTATGAAAGATCACAGTATTTTTGCAAGATGGAATTGTGTGTAATAGTCATGGAAACTTTTAATTTCTCTCCTGCTATGAGTGATCCCCTTCTCGACGGGTGGGAGTATCCAGTTATTCCCTTTCGTACACGCACTGTCTCTTACCTTGTAGCTCTTAAATAAGCTCTAGGCACCACTGTGGCTTCTGCTCTTGCTAGTCTCCCCAAAGCTGTCACAATTTGGTGCGTGGTGTTCAGCTGCCGAGCTGAGTGGGGAAGAAATACACAGCAGAAAGGAAAGAATACGGGAGGATGAGGGGTGGTCTGTGTGCATGCCTCTCTCTGCCTGTTTAGCTGTTGGAGAAACTCTTCCTGTGTGCCTGACTTCGTGCAAGTCTGTTCTGGCAATCTGAGTCTCAAAGTTGTGTTGATCGTGGGGTTGGAAGTTTCAATACTTGAAGCTAAGTGTTGTTCTTTCCCTTTCTCCTCTTTCCTCCTAGGTCTGGGTTTAATTTTGGTGGTGTCACATCAGCTGCTTCATCACCAACGCTGCCCAGCCTCGCTTCCTCACAAGGTTAGTTTGGAAGAGTGTGCAAACAACGTCTCTTCCCTGCTAGGAGAACGCTTACTCTTCCTAACTCGTGTGGTTCTTGTTTTATGTTGCAGTTCTATTATTAAAATTGCAGTCGCTGCAATAACATTATATCCGTATGCTGGATTATGCCCTGTAGCGCACAGAAATCTAGGCCACCTGCCTTTCAATTAAGAGTAAGCAAAATATTTGCTGCCAAGAACATCTAGGTACTAGTTCATGAAAAGGGTGACATCTGTAGTCATTTCCTCTGCTGTCTTTAATCTGTAGATTTAAAGTTGCCGAGGTGGTCTGACACAGCTGTCATGAAGTGGAATGAGCATTTAGTAATGGGAGGGGAATGCTTGGGCTGGCTTTGTGTTGCTTCTGAAATTGAGTTCACGATGTATAGGCTGCCTTTCCGTTTCGTAGGTAGACCATATTTGCCTGGTCTGGAAAAAGAGGGCTGATACATCTGTTTCATAATGTTCTTGAAGTTTTCTGCCTCTAATCTCAGTCTTACAAAAGAGATTGTACGGTCAAAAACTCACTTCTGATGCTTTTGGTCGCTTTAATAAAAGATGTCGCCTCTTCTTACAAATCTTGGCTTGCTTATATCCTTAGACCATAACAGCCACAGCTACTAATACTGTGTTGACGATAAGCAGAGAGAACTAACTTGGCTTAAAAGTTGGAAGATTTAGTTGAAGCTTAGATAAATAACATTTATTAAAGAAGGAGTGGGAGATGCAGGAGACAGACTTGTAAACCACAGTGTTGTGTGAGGGCAGTTACTTCTCGCTGCTCTGTGAAATGGTAGGAGCACCTTTGCTTCTGTTAGCTGGTGATGGAAGCAGAACAGAAGCAATTTCAGTGTCTCAGGAGGAAACAAATGCTACATTATTCAGTGTCAGTTACTAATATACTTAATATAGGGTGAAACACAAAGCTAATACCAGCTGCGCTAAGAAGCTTTTGCTCTTTGTTATTTGTTCTCCATGCAGTTTTCCTGTACCTTTTCCAAATCAACCCATAGTCCAAACACCAGTGCAATGTCTTCAAGTCAAAACTTGTGTGTATTTGGTGCTCAGAAATGAAGTTACAATACATCAGATAAAACTAGTTCAGGCTGCCTTAAAACTTCAGCAGTTTCACACTGTTGAATAGCAGCATATCTGATAAGTAGAGCTGCTTTGGCAGTTACGTTTGAGATCTTTCAAAGCTGAAAACAGGCTGCATAGAAAGTGGTCAGTGGTCTTTAAATAGTTGAATTTGTCAAGAAAAATTTGATTCTGTAGAAGACTCTTTCAAGTGCCAGAAAGTATTTTTGTGACCCAAACTCTGTTCTGAGCCATTGGTTTAAACAGAGTTCTGTAGTGAAAGTCAGGAATTGTTTAGCTGAAGCAAGTAAGAAGGGGTGAAAATGGCATTAACAGCAAATGGTCTGTAGTCCCCAGGTCTTCTATGTTTCTATCAAACTGTTGAAAAAGAGATAGGAGCCAAAGGCTGAAATTGTCTGTACTCAGAGAAGGATGGTTGAGTGGAGGCTATGACATGAAACTAACAGTGTTTGTCACTGCAGCCCTGTCCATAAAGGCTTCAGATGGCACTGTTGTCTCCTGAATGCACATGGAAGTGGCAGTTACCTGATGGTCAGAGGATTTATAGCTTTGGGGCAAAAGCACTGTCTAACAATCTGTGAAGCACTAAAGCATGCTATTATTGTAAGAACGATAAATGAGCTTTGCATACCGTAACTGAGTTTGTAACTTCTTTATCTCTCTTGCTGACAGCCCCTGCTAAAGAGTCCACCCAGACTGATTCATTTTCGCTTGCTGGGGGTTCCAAATTTGGAGTAGTCCCTGAGAACTCCTTTGCTTTTGGGTCCCTCAAGCCAGCAAGTGCTCCAGGAGCATTAGTAGGAAATAGCTCATCGGCAGATGGCACCCAGGCAAACAAACCTGCTGCCACAACATCTTCTGCTCCCTCCACAGCCTCTGGCAAGTTGGACATCCCTCCATCTAAAGCAGGAGATCACTTGTTTCAGAGCAATCTAGCTGGGGAAACTCTTGGGAGCTTTTCGGGACTACGGGTTGGTCAAGTAGATGATAATGCCAAGACCACCACTAAAGCACCATCTACCAGTGCTACAGGAGCACAGTCAACTAAAGTGTCTACAATACCTTCTGGATTTACTTTTGGTACTCCCTTGTCATTAGGAAAAGCTGGAGAAGCTGCTTCAACGTCGGTCACATCAGCTGGCACGGCATCCCCGTCCATCAGCACTAGTGCCACAGGCAGTCTCTTTGGCAATGTCCAGATGACCAACACAGGGTCTTCTGGGGTGTTTAATCTTGGAGGCTCTAGTGGCAACAAACCCACCTTTTCATTTGGTATTCAGCAAGCAAACAGCATGAGCGCATCCACCTCTACTCCTACTCTCTCTACTTCAACGTCCCTCTCATTTGGAAGCTTCTTGAGCTCATCACAAACTGCTGTCTCTGCTGCAACTTCTAATAAGGGTTCGGGGGATGCCAAGTTACCGCCTGTGTCAGAAAAGCCACCTGAAAATGAAGCTGTAGCAGCGGGGTCTTCACCTCCAGTGACACAGTCACCGCAGCCACAGATACAGCTTTCAGAGTCCATTAAAGTTTTCTTTTGTAGCTGTGTCCTTTATAA